GGTCACTTGGGATTTCCCTCGGGGGATGGGATGGTGGTGTCTCATTCTAAGGAGGCCACCTAGATGAGTGTGGAGGACACTTCTGAGAAAGCCTACAGCAGGATGGGGGAGGAGCTAGGAAGGTGGAAGACGGAGCAGTCGCCAGGACAGACGGTCATCAGGCTGCCTCTGACCAAGCCCATAAAATCCCGAATCCACAGGTTTTGGACTTGGGCCTGGCAGGGGGATGCGCCAGCTGCAGTCGCTGAGCGCGCCTTGCCCGCTTGTCTTATCAGCTGCTCTGGGGATCCTGGGACTCTGACTACGGGCCTTAGCACCATGGCCCCGCCTGCTTGGGCTCATCCTTGAACCACAGGGACATGTGTGCTTGCAGCTGGAATCATCAAAGGTGACGGTCACCGTCCCTGTAGGGGATGCGTAGGTTGCTGAGCTGACCGGGCTCAGAGGACGGCGATGACAGTGGGCGATGCGGCAGTGAGGTTGGACCAGGAGAGTGGAGGCAGCCTGAGGGCCAGGCAGGTGTGCCGCGGGAAGCCTGGGGGCAGGAGCTCCGCAGAGCGGGGCTCCCCAGAGGGAGGGGTGCCCCTTTGTCTCCATGGGCTCTGGAGTTCTGATGCTAGAGGACGAGGGTCAGAAAGTTGACTTCTGGAGCTTTCTTGAGATACTTTTCTTTCTGACCACTAGGTGGGGGGCTAATGTTATCTTGTTTTCCCGAAGAAAATGGGAATGGAAGCTTTTTGTCTGACTAGATGTCCCTCAAGTGCCTGACGGATGTGGCTTTCCCTGTAGCAGCTGCAGACGTCACTGTGAAAGCTCACGGGCGGGCTGTTCGCATACAGGGTGACGGGACCCGCCTTGAGACCTGTTTGCTTCCTTGTGGGGACAGTAGTTCAGCCTAGGCAGACGGGATCCGGGGACTGTGTCCTCCATGTCTTCAGATCCCGACCAGCTGCTGGGAAGCTGGACCTCCAGGGGGCAGACCACGTCGTTGCCTGTTATTCCAGCCTTTCCTGGAGCTGCCAGCTGGGAAGCCACTTGCACATGATGCTCTGGGCGGAGCCTCCTGTCCTGAGGTGGAGGCCCCTGCCTGCCGGCCTGAGCAGTGCCCCAGCCAGCCAAGCTGCACCCGTGTGCTCACGGTAGGGCGTGGTGCTGGGACAGCTGCCCCCGTCTGTGCATCCTCGCCTCTGTCCAGCTGTGTGCACTGCCCCTCCTCCTCTTACACGTTGTTACTGGCCTTAGTGGGAAATAAGTGATATTTTGCAGAAGTGAGAAGCCGGTAAAACTGTTCAGGGTTGAAATTTATAACTTAAGGGTATTTGAGAAAGGGGCCATCTAAGAAGGCGGCCATCCCTGTTCTCTTCCACCCCTCCTCCTGGTTTCTCATCTCTGTTCTTGGGGCCAGGATTCTGCTCACCATGCAGTTAATAGGCTTTCTACAGGCTTGTGTGGTTTATCAAAATTGGCTTTATAAAAACAATTTACAGGGCTGGGGTTGTGGGTTGGTATTAGAGTGCTTGCCTCGCATGTGTGAGGCGCTGGGTGCGACCCCAACACCACATTTAAAAAAAAATATATTCGTGTACAACTAAAATAAAAACACAATTTATATAAAGATGCTCATTCTAACAGTACCGATTGCTGAATCCTGAAAAATGCATCAAGTCACCACCACCAAACCCAGAGCCGTGTGGTCACCCAGAACCTTCCCACAGGCCCACACCGGTAGCCTGCCTCCTGCCCAGGTCCCTGCATGACAGGGAGGGGACGGGTGGCGCCTGCATGCCGTCTTGGCCTGGCTCCTCTGTTCCTGAGGTCTGCGGTGTCTTTTGGGTGCGGGTTGGGGGTGGTGGTTCCTTTTTACAGCCGAGTAGCATTCTGTTGCTGTGCCGCAGTGTGCTTATCCGCTCCCCAGCCGAGGGGTTTGGAGAGGTTTGTGTTGTGGTTATTTGGATGGAGTTGCTATGGATACATGTTTGCTTTCTTTCCTCTTGGGTTGTTTCCCAGCTTGGTGCCGAGGTGGTTGTAATCCCACCAGCAGTGCGTGAGCATTCAGTTTTCTCCCCATCTTCAACAGCATTTTTCCATCTTTTGGTATTTATCATCTTCTGAATTTTAGCCATTTGAGTGGATGTGCGGTAGTGTCTCGTGTTCTTGGTGTGTTAAGATTTAATTGCCTACAGTTCTCTTAAAATATTTCACTGGTTTTAAACATTCACATAGTTGTGTGGCCATCACCACAATTTTAAAACATTTTCATTGCCTGGAAACAAAACCTTCTACCCTCTAGCCATCACCCGACCCCAAGGCATCTACTGACTTGCTCCATCTCTGGATTTTCCTGTCTGAACATTTCACATAAATGGGACCATGTATGTGCTGCTTTGTGGCAAGGTCCAGGTGTCGGGTGAGCAGCTTCATTTGCTGTCCTGATGGAGTGTGTGTGGAACATAATACTGACCGGGAGAACCCCCTCCCCAGGTGCATGGTGGAGAACAGCCATCCTTCCAGACCCCTGCTTGGCTCCTAGGCATGCTGTTTCCACAGGGGTTGCTTTTGCCCCCACCGTTCCAAGCACAGGCCATGCTGCTGTCTCGATTTTAGTTTGGATGTTCCCTACCTAATTCTTACCACTCTGACGGGGAGAGGTTTGTAGCTAGCTCCCTTCCAGGGCACCCTGCTCCCTTGTACATGCACCCGCTGTCTGCATCGTTGCAGTCTTCCTGTTTTTATTCCAATCGACATAAGTTTTCATCAGATCAGTTGTCTGCATTTGTATTAAGACTGTAAAACTGTAGCTGGCTCTGAGTCTACCAGGGCACGTTTCTCCTCAAGTCGCGCTTTCTTCTCCCAGAGCTTGGCCTGGATCCTTGCATCCAGAGCCAGTCGGCTGGCCATCTTGGGCATTGCTGCAGCCTTGCAGGGTCCAGCAGCTCTCAGTTCCTGCGTGCCTTCCTGAGGTCCAGCAGCCCTTTGCTCCTCCACCCGAGTCCGCAGGCTCTGGCTCCTTCACACCTCCCTGAGGTCCAGCAGCTCTCTGCTCTTGGCTCCTGCACCCGAGTCCCCAGGCTCCCGTGCGCCCCTGCCCGAGGTCCAGCACCCTCTGCTCCTGCACCCGAGTCCCCAGGCTCCCGTGCGCCCCTGCCTGAGGTCCAGCAGCCCTCTGCTCTCGGCTCCTGCCCTTGAACCCCTGGGCGCAGGTCTCCTGCTGCCAGGCCTGGCTTTCCTTTCTCTCTGCGTTTTAAGTTCCTCAGACAGCTCTTATCTACTCTTCACTTTTATTGGGTTTTCTGTTTTCCTGGCATTTTATTGGCACTTTTGGGGGTAAGAGAAAATCGTGTTTATCTGACCAGACTTAACCAAAGGTCAAGGACTTTGTTTCAATACCTAAAGTTTGCTCAGTTCGTCCCCTGTCCCCATCCCCACTGCCCCTGCTGAGCCTGGGTGCCACCTCCCTCAGTTACAATGGTATCCCCGACTGGTCTCTCCTGGGTCATCGTCCTGGACCCAGCCCTCTGCCTGTGAGCACACGCCTGTGACCCTCCCTGGCACCCTTCCTAAGCCAGAGCCCACAGGAGGGGCCCAGGCTCTTGCGCTTGGCCTGCAGCCCTGAGGTGCCCGGTTCTCTGCCGTCTGACTGCTCATCCCCTCTTTCCAGTGGTGTTTCCCAAGAGTGCCACCTGCTCACACGGGTGCTCCTGCCAGAGCTGTGCTTCTGGGTGGGATCCTTGTCCTGAGTCTTCCTCCACAGCACTGGGCCTGGGACCTGCTCCGGTTGCAGCTGGATCTGGCCTGCGGCGTCCAGTGTGCTCTGCCTGGTTGTGCTCCTCTCCTACAGTTGCTGCTCTTCCACACTTTTGCAGATTCCTCCTGCGTCCCGCTCCCTTCAAGACGGTTGTACTCTCGTGTCTGCGGGCAGTTTGTTGGTGCCGAGGTCCTGAAACCCTGTGTGCACCCCTAGGGCCTGGGAAGTTGAAGAGAGGCCATGCCAATTGTGGAACAGTTTTGCTGTTGCATGTGCTCAAAAGGGTGTCGGGAACAACAGGGGTGTTCTGAGCTCCAGACTCGCCGCCCTGGTCACGTCCTGTTTTTCTCTTAACATTCTGTGTAAACCATGTACATCACACACATCTCTGAAACTTCCTCCTCTTCTGGTGTGTCATGGTGGATTCTATACCCGTGGGCAGGCCTTCCTCATTGCACTTCTTTAGTAGGTTATCTTTTCAAACATCTGTCTGCATATTAGACGCTGACCGGGGACAGGCTTGTGAGAGGTAACCAGAGATGTGGTTAGGGGCCATGTTATAAGACTTGACCGACAGGTGGGTGAGAGCGTCCTGCAAACACAGGAGTGACGGGAGGTCTTTGACTTGGGTTGGAGAGAGGGTGTTCTGAGATCTCAGTGATACAAGGGAATCGGAGGTCGCAGGTCCCTTGGAAAGCAGATGCGCTGTCTAGATCTGAGTGACGGTGCCCAGGGGGAGGGTAATGGTTGAGGGGATGAGCAGGGTGCTCCGAAGTGGCAGTGGAGGGCTGGGGTGGAAGGCACAGCTCCAAGGTCATGGCATTGCCCACCTGGTGCTCTGGGGTCTCTGACAAGCATGGGAAGGGATTTGGAGGAAAGTCTCTGGCTTCAACTTTGTCTTGTCCCTCCTGCCCACTCGTCTTACGACCTGTTCACCCTGATCTTCTTAAACACTGACCAGTGTCTGCTTTACCTTCATGAGTGCCATGCACTGGTGAGTATGAAGTGTTACAAGCCTAAAATTGTTACATAAAAATCGTGCTGCTTGTACCTGCTACTCCTCTTAAATGTACCAAAACACCGAGTGGAGAAGACTTGGAGAGTTTAATGCCATGGATCTGAATTTGGTGTTGAGTGTGCTCACTTTAAATGACCCATGCCTGAATGTCCTGGATGGCTGACACGTGAGCAGGTCGGATGCTGTGTGAACGTGACAGAGACCCTTCCTAAGTGCTTCTTCATCTTAACCACACAGGTGCAGGACAGCCGGAGCACGCGTCGAGGAGTCGCTGTTCCCTGCCACCAACACTAACGAGCTCTTGCCGTGCCTGATGAGGAGGAAGGTGAGTGTGCCCATCCGCCGCAGGCCCGGGCAACTGACCCCTAGAAGACAGGGCTTCCGGAAGTATCTTCCAGAGTCGTCTGTCACGCTGGTGATCCTGTCATCTTCTTCATGTGGTGTTTTGGCACATTATAGTTCATCTTCGCCCATGACTGCTTTGATTTATGAAAAGTGGAAATCTGTGGTTGACCCAAGTGGAAAACTAGCAGTTGCTGACCTCGGGTGCTTCAGTGTTTGCTTAGAACTCAGTTTAGACCTGTACTAAAGGTCTTTGTTCCTTGCAGAATCTCAAGAGCCCAATACAAACACATCTGAGTGTGAAAAGCCCTTTATTATTACAGGAGGTCTGCTTCACAGCTAGCGTTGGACACTGCTTGCATTGAGTCCAGTTCACATTTGAACTACAGCCTCTTCAGTTTTTGACTTGTTTCAAAGTTTTGAGATTTGAGGGTAGCTTCCTATGAACGTGAAAGCTAGACTAGAATCTCTGCTAGAGACTTGAAGATTTTGTCCAAACTGAATCGGGCACACGTGAACAGCTCACTTCCTATAAATGAAGCAGCCGTGGCTTCTCCAGGTGGTATGTGGAATGAGTGTGGGCTGCGTGCCCAGCAGTCTCCCGACTGCGCCAGCGGAGAGAACATCGAGGAAACCCAGATAACACAGATATCTATTGATGCCCCTTCCCTCTAAATAAGCAACTTTCAGTTTGCGAGGGTCCTGGAGGACCGCCTCAGAACACACGTGTTGCACTCACCCGTGAGCTCTGCGAGCCTGGGGCTCTGCATCTGTAAGTGGTGGTTACGGGGTTGCTTTTGCTTTTCCACTTGAGAGTGGGTCTCGATGGTCTGCCATTGAGGTCCTTTGTGGAACTGTCTCTGCACCGTGGTACACAGCATGGATGTGCCTCTCCCCAGGTCATATGTGTTTAGGTCATTGTCAGCCTCTGCGAAGCTTTTTACTCGTGGGACGTGTTTTGAGTTTTATATCTCCAGGTTGGATACCTAGAAATTACTGGCTCAGAATACACATTTTACATTCTATCAGAAATGTATTTCTTGATGCTGATCAATGCTGGATATGATCGTTTTTTGCTGATCTGATGCATAATGACTGCTCATATACTTGAATTCTGTCTAAAAATCAAACTTTCCTTTTCTAAATGCAATTGCAATTTTTATTTTTATACTAGGAATTGAGCCCAGGGGCTTGTTATCACTGAGCTACATCCCCAGACCTTCTTATTTTTAATTTTGTAACAGGATCTTACTAAGTTGATAAGGCTGGCCTCAAATTTGCTATTCTCTAGCCTCAGCCTCCTGGGTTACTCCGATTAGTAGGTGTGCACCACTGTGCCCATTTGTAATTTGCAAATTAAACATGACTTGAGACCTTGTTTGGAAGTTCTCTGCTTTCATCCATGTCGGTGTCTACTCCTAGCCTAACAGTCTAGCTTGCTGCTCAAGACATACCAGGACTGTTTCTGTTTTGAGCCATTTATTGCATTATCTCCTCCCTCCATTTGGAACATGCTTCTCCCAAATCCATCCACACGACTTGGTTTCCAGCTTCCTGAAGGCTCTCTGTGAATGTTACTTTCTCCCGGGCATCTCCTCTGACACCTGCATGCTGAAGCTTCCTTTCCTCTGGTGCTAGCTCTCCGGTCCCTGTCTGTAGAGCTTGCGATCTCTCCCACTGCAACCGTGGGGCTTCAGTTACCAAGGATTCACAGAAGCTCAAAGTACAAAGGCTCCAAATCTACAGAGCACCTTGGAGCCAGGAGCACAGGTAGAGCCTGTCCTCTGCTGGCGGGAGGCTTAGGTGACCCTATCCCTTGTAGAGTCCTCTGGGCAAGCCATTAGTCCCTGGTGGTAAGCAGTGTCAAAGGCTGTACAGCCCGTCTCTGCACTGTGTGGCCCTACAGTTACAGAGCAGCCTCCTCGGGGCACTTCATGCTGTGCAGCCGTGTGTCTGCTGAGGTTAACCTCCGGCACCCGGGAGGTATAGTTTGAGCTGTATTTGGTAACCATTTCTTACCAGTAGTGCAAGATTCTTGATGCCAAGGATCTTTCTAGGTAATAAGGCCAGTGCCAGACACATAACATTGTCAGTAAATGATTGAATAATGCATTACTAAAAGTCGAATCCTGAGAACGAAAGTGTGGGGATTAGCCTTGAAGGACTAGAAGCAGTTCACGCTAAGACTAAGGAAATTGACTAGGTTCCATGTCAGCTAGTTGGGGCTGTGGCTTCAACCTGGAGAGCTTGGGTGCAGGGCGGAGGGCAAGTTGGGATAGTCATGGGATTCTGGGCTCAAGAGCGGAACAGAAGGGTCAAGCCAAGTTCAGAAGGCAGGAAAGTCAGAGCTGAGGTGGTCTCAAAGGGATGTCTGCCTCCTTTCTGTTCAAGGATGAAAAGGCTAAAAAGTTAGCTGAGGCTTTGGATCCCAGGTGTGAGATTGAGGTGTTGGTGAGTAGTTAGGATTTGGATTTCACTGGTTGAATGGAGTTACTGTGGCTTAAAGGCAAGGAGGAAAGACTAAATGATTGTTTCCTTCTTTAGTTATAGTACTACAATACAAAGTGATTATTTTATGTCATGATTTTTGGAGGGAAAATGATGTGAGGATAGCAAAAAATATGAAGAAGCTAGTTCTACGAATTTTCGAGGAAAATGAGTGCCAAGAGCCAGGAAACACTGCATGGTACACAGCCTTTCATTTAAACTCCCGAATTCTCTCCCTTTTAAAATTTCCAATTTACATATATGCAAAAAATATTAGTGATATTTAAAAGATGATATCAGAAATGTATGGGAAAGAGTGTTTCCTATCTTAAAACCAATTGTGATATGGTATTGATTTTTATGTCCCCTTTCCACAGCGTAAGTGTATGCAGCCCAAAGATTTTATTCCTAAAACACCAGAAAATGACAAAAGACTTCAAAGGAAATTTGAGAAGATGACTGAAGAGCTACAGAAGCAAAAGATGACCCCAGGTAGGCCCAGCCTCGGGCAACAGCCCTGGCCCTGGGTTCCCTCCTGCCCTGTGGGCCCAGGGGCCACGAGTAAGACCCAGTGGCCTTAGCCTAGGAAGGAGCACAGAGCTGATGTGGGGCCTGCTGGGAGCCCAGCAGACGTCAGGGGCCAGCACGGTCTCCATCGTTTACCAGATTGGTGGAACCTTTGGGAGTGATCATAGAAGAAAAGCAACCTTGCTAAGCCTTGTTGAAACAGTTCCATTGGTTTGTCTTTTTATTGATACTAGTTCTTATCTGAAATAAGCAAACCTTAAATGCTGTATCCTTCTGGAGTTGGGAACACCAGACCTGCTGCCAGGGGTGGCTGTGTTGAGCTTGTGAGCTGGGGTTCCTGGGAGCAGCTCTGGAACCTGGGTCTACATCACGTGTAGGAGCTCGGTTGCTTTCAGCTTTGCAGCCTCTTCATAGCCATGTGATTCCGAGGTATTTCCTCATCTTTAAGTGAGGACGCAGGGTCTGAGGTAGGTCTGCTGAGACCAGGTGGGTGCTGTGCCCATCACAATGCCAGGGCATGGCCTGTGCAGCGCAGTGCCAGCCAACACTGCAGTGGCACCCATCCGTGCTGACGTGATGCTGATGTAGAAGGCTATGGGCTTACAAGGAGTCACATTGTGGAAATGCAAAGCTGTTCTCTTGAGCTTACATTTAATTTTTGTTGTCAGATAATGACTCATCGATGTATAGTCCCACAACTCAAATTAGTGACCACCACAGCACAATGGAGAAGAGATTACAAGACATGAAGGAGAGGAGGGAAAATCTTTCCCCTACATGTAAGTGGTCTTATAAAATGAAACTTGGGCAGGCAGGTGAATAATTATGGTGGAAAGTTTTTAAACTGGATATTTTTAGCTTTTCCTCATTTCTAACACTTTGACCTATTTCAGTAAAGATCTTGTCATTGTTTTTTTTCCAGAAAGTCTTCGTTAAGAACTTTTATTGGGCATACAGTATCCTCCAGGTTTAAAATCCTCTGTAGTGTCTTGTAACATTTTCAACTAGTTGGGTAACAGCTGAGCACGTTCTAACAGAACCCTGTAGCCAAGGGTGAAAGTTCCTCTTCCTCCAGTTCCGCCCTTTTGCAAGGGGATCTCTGTCAGATCATCTTCACGCCATCACTTATATATGTGCACATGATAGAGGCGGGTTTCTGCGTGGAGCTGTGATTTAGTCTTTACTGCAGTTGGATCATGGTATATACATTTTAATTCTCCCACTTTTTGTTATAACCCCACCTGCATCTCTTACAAACACCTATTTTCCTGTGTACTTTGTGTATTTCTGAATATAAAGACAGGATTTAAAACTTGGATAGATTGAAATGACACTTCAAAACTGTGGGGCCTTTTACCCTACACCATTATTTACCGTAATGCTCATTCTTCATGCTTGGAAAACTGGATGGCACTAGCTTCTAAGTCTTTCAGTCTGGAGGTTGAACAACTGTATTTTTGTTAGTTCTCTTGGATTTTTAGTGAGGTTGAATGTCTTCATATGATTGACTTTTTTGATTTGCCAATTTTTTTATGTAATCAATAATTGCTTTTGAATTTTATGTTCATTTGCTTATTATTCTTATATATGAGCTTTCTATAAGGTCAGACCTTTAACCTGTCTTACTGCACCTGTATCCAAGAGGTTGGTTTTAGCTACATACAACACAGAAAGAAACAAACTGACTTGGGTTAGAATTGCATTACTCTGTCAAGTCAGAAGTAGGCCATTGGGCTTGAGTGACCTTCTGTGGTGTCCTAAGACTTGAGGTTCCCACCTTCTGTTTTCCTTCCTTGGTGCCTTTCCATTCCAAGATCTAACTTCAGCCTAGTAAGCTCCAACCACCTTCCCAGACATGACCGCCCATTCCACCCGATACTCCTGCCTGAGTCCGTTGGCGGGACTTAGCTGATGACCGCTCCTGGCTATAGCCAGGACTGCAGTGCAGCCTGGGAGACGGTCAGACTCTGTGAAGAGGGAACTGAGAGTGGACCTGGTGGAGCGAGCTGGGCATCCAGACTGCCGGGACGTGTGACCACCTACATGAGCCAACCTGCCTTGGTCTTGACGTGTCAGTTACGTTGTGGAGTTGGTCCTGCCTCCCGAGTCTGGCGTGGTTCAAAACTCAACGTGGAGAACTTTCTCCAGGGTCACCTTCCTTCCCTGAGTTTATTCTCTTTACAACTATTTTTAACTGGAGAATGAACTCGGGGGCACTCGACCACTGAGCCACGTCCCCAGCCCTGTTCTGTACTTTATTAGAGACAGTCTCACTGAGTTGCTTAGCGCCTCGCAGTTGCTGAGGCTGGCTTTGTACTCATGATCCCCCTGCCTCAGTTTCCCAAGCTGCTGAGATTTACAGGCCTGCGCCACCGCACCTGGCTAGATTACTCTGTTTGCATTTATGTTTGATCAAAGTGTTCACAGAAAAGTATCCTCAGCGTCTCTTTAAAAGACGTCTTTGGGTATAGACCTGAACATGCCTTTGGCTTCTCATCTGTCGCAGTGCGCAGGTGACATACAGGCTACCTTTGTTACGTCATTCTTGTTTTGACCAAAACCCCCAGGGCTTCTCGACCTCAGCGCTGCTGGCATTATGGGGTGGGTAATTCTGTTGTGGGACTGTCCTGTGCATGGTGGCATGCCCAGCAACCCTGGCCTCTGGTCACATCCCTCCTGCAGATACTCAGGATCTGCTGGGAGATCCAAGCTCCCAGTGAGAGCTATGGCTCTGGTAGGGAAGTAACCATGGTGAGCTTCCTGCTGACAGGGCCGAGGTCCTCAAGTAGGAAAACGGACAGAGCCTCCGCCTCCCCTTGTTGGGACTCTGATTAGCTTCATCAAGTTGAGTTTGTTTTCCTTTAAAGATTTCAGCTGAGCTTTGTGGGGTTTTGAGGTTTTGTTGCTGTGCTGGGGCTCGAACCCACGGCCTCAGACATGCTAAGCAAAGCCCTGACTGAGCTATGTCCCCAGCCCCTTCTGGTCTTTGATTCTGTGTGATTTAATGCTTTTTAAATAATATGACTGCATCAGATTATTCACGATTCCTCTCTGAGAGTTCTGACTGGGGATTTTTGTGCTTCCTGTTTGTATTCAGTCTGGAGTGGCGGACCTGAGGAGCAAGTTGGTGTGCGTGGGGCATACATGAATCCATCTCAACTTTGTCTTATCTGCTAGAAAATACTGAAGCTGAGAATGTTTCGTTTTGTTGACAGCTTCCCAGATGACTGAGCAGTCCCATGAGAAGCCAGGTAACCCTGCGTCTGCGTGTGAAGCGACTTTGAACATTTCACCTGATATTTTGTGTTCAGGTAAAATTATTTTCTTTTGTGATATTTAAGATTCAGAAATAACTTTCTCTCTTCCTTTCATATAGTTCCGTTGAGTAGAACATCTAGGTATACCTAGAACTCATAAATTTCACCCCCAAATTTGGTATTGTAATAAATTAAGACCTGAGAAATGCATAAGTTAAATCTCCTTTTTTGGTTCCTGTGGGTTTTGTCTTATGCATTTGTTTCTTGCTACAGAATCAATTGCTCATCTTTAAGACTTGTATGAACTGACCTGCACACCGTTTAAATAGGCCCGAGACAGTCAGCTGAGTTGCTCGTCACGCTGTTCAGTGAACACGTGGGGTGTGTTGAGGGGTCAGCGGGTGTGTATGTGTCATTCTGACGGGGCCTTGGTTCACTGGGGATGACTTCTCTGGTTGTGTGGTTTCCTAGATTTCTCGTCCGTCCCACAAGAGGGCCTGAACAATGACAGTCAAGGACTGCTAATGTCTGAGATGTTCTGGGGCCTCCCCATGGGGGCTGCAGCAGTGGCAAGGCCCAGGTGTTGAGCCGTTGGGAGGTCCGGGCCCCTTCCCCTGCCTGGTCGCTCCCTGTCATCCCTTCTGTGTTGGCTGAGGTCATTTGCCCAGTTACCTAAAGTTCCCTTTTTGTACCCCTGGTTTCCCACGGGTTGGAAATGGAGGGTGATGGCAGGGATCGCGGGTTACCGCGCACGGGCGCTGCTCTGCCCAACTTCCTGCTGCCTCGGGTCCAGGCTCCCGTCAGCCCTGTGAGTTAGGGCACCACCACACCCACCCTGCCGGAGGGGACCAGCACGCAGGGAGGCCAAGCAGCTTGTGCAGGGTCCCCGGTTTGTGAGGGGCAAACCCAGGCTTCGAACTTGAGGAGTTGGACTCAGAATGCGTTCTCTGGACGACCATCACGTTGCACGTTGGCATTTTGGAAAGTGACGAGCGTATGCACCTCCACAGGCCAGTCAGTGACTCATATTTCCAGCTTCTTCCCGGAAGACAGGTTGACCTAGGCATAGCATGGCCCTGCCCTACGGATTCTAGGAAAGTTCTTCCTTTGGTTCTTCCTCTGGTGGGGGGGTGGGCATTAAAGATTGATCCTATGGGTGCTCTACCATTTTTTTTTTTCTTTTAACTTTGAGATAAGTTCACACGGTTGCTGAGACTGGCCTCAAACTTGTGATCCTCCTGCCTCAGCCTCCTGAGTTGCTAGATAATAAGTGTATGCTACTGCACCCAACGTTGAACTTGGTTTTTAAAAGTAGAGGTGGAGTGATCTCGGAAAGTTACAGCAACCTATGTGGCTTCCAGACTGTGTAGCCAGAGTGGGGGCCTCCAGCCAGCCAGCAGGCTGTGTCCACAGCGGAGCCAGGCCTGGGCTAGACGCGGCTCTCCTCTAGCAGTCTGTGGCATGGTGAGCAGGACAGTCAGCATGGCAGGTGTGGTGCATGTTGGTGCCACAGGAGAACCTGGCTGACTAGCCTAGACCTGGCTGCTGCTCAAGGGAGTTTTGGAGGATGGATCATACCCAGAGGGTCCGAGTCGAGGGAAGTGGGGAGGAGTGTGGAAGGGTGCAGAGTGTGCAGCAGCCCAGCATTGCTCTCGGGGAAACGGCTCCTGGTCTCGGCAGCCTGGTCTCCCTAGTGGCTCACTTTTGAGTATAAATAGGGTATAAGGCCTTTACTGGAGGCAGGAAGGCCGAGGCAAGCTGTGGTAATTGGGGCACTGTTTCCCGAAATTGGCACACGACCTAATCTGAGTGACCCAGGACACTCTACCGCTGAGCCACCTCCCCGGCCTTTTTGACTCTTTTAGACTGAGTTGCTGAGGCTGGCCTTGAACTTATAGTCCTTCTGCCCTGGCCTCAGAGCTGCTGGGATTACGGGTGTGCACTGCCACACCTGGCTGAACTGTATAATGTGGGAGACCAACCTCGCTCGTGACTGAGTTAATTCCCCTGCTGGGCGATGTGGCTTCAGTCACCCATGCTGCTAGACTGCCCCGCTCTTCTAGGGTTCGAGTGACTGTCTTCATACCCAGGCTTGTCTTCCTACAGCCCCGTGGGTGAAGCTACGCTCACCTGTTCCTTTGTAATATAACCCCTTGCCCTCTTTAGGATAGAATGTTCCATGGAAGTGCCTTGTGTGTGTCCCCTACTCTTACTGTGCCCTTGGGTGTGGCCTACCCAGATGTCAGTCAACCTGCTGACAGTGGACATCATGAAGATAGGTTCAGCCCCCTGAAACCTGACCTCTTGCCTCATTTGAATAGCTTCTCAAGAGAGCGTGTGCTCTCTCTCTTAGGACCCTTAAGGTCAGAGGAGCCGTCACAGCGACCCCAAAGGAAATATTTGCCTCCTGTGTGGTTATTTCGCGCACCCAGTTAGCCCAGTTTACCTGGAGTGACCCCTGAGCCTTTTAGTGGCGAACAAAAACCCGGCAGTATAATATTTAAACCATTTTTAAAACGTTAGGTCTTTATGTTTTTCAGACGACTTCTTTGCTGGTGGCTCGCGCTCACCTTTGGATGCTTTCCGTGGAGAATCGAGATGTAGAAACCAGGGAAGCCAATCGGGAAGGACTAGTAATGGAACTAGAAGTGATACGTGCACATCCTCGTGTGTGTTAGAAACAGACAGCACTTGTTCACCAGCTCTGTCTGGTCGCCTCTGTCCGTCAAGCCCTCAGAGATCCGTGAGTCCTCTTTCAGAGGAGGAGAGGAGTTGGCAGAAAGACGCTGTAGGAGGAGCAGTCGCCCCCGACGGGAGGCCAGCCGAGGGTGTGTCTGAGGACCGCTCCACAGCGCCTGCTTCCACGGTGTTGGTGCACTCACGGCCCTGGAGCGCCTCCCCCAGGTGGGAGGGAGCATCCGTGGGCTTGGGCTCACCTCCAGAAGAGCAGGTGAAGAAAAGGAGACTCGGTCGAAAGCCTGTCACGCCCAGGTCGCAGCTCGGGTTGAAGCGTGGCCTGCTGCTAGCCGCCAGGCCTGCCCCCGCCACTCCTGATGGTGGGGAGTCCTACGAGGACTACTTCTCACCTGAAAACCTGAGGGAAAGGCGTTCGGAGCAGTCTGCTGCCGGATCTCCACTGCCAAGCCCTGCGCAGCTCGGCTGCAGGAGTCTTTCTAAGAGGAGGGGAACGAGTTTCATAGAAATGGCTGATTTTTCCTGCATTGGTGGAAGCCCCAGATCGGTCCCTGTGACTCAGCTAACAGCAAAAACTTGCTCCCAACTTCAGAAGCCTGAAAAATGTCAAGAGAACCCAGATTCCGGTCGCACAGCTGCAGGGGAGACGCCTGCCGCCGAGGACGGCCAGGGAGGCACGGGGCAGGCTGAAGACGCTCGCCCACCTGGAAGCCCTGCGCCACCAGAAGAACGCGAGGGCGACTTGTGTCCCCCCAAGCGAAGCTGGGAGGACGTGAGAGGGTCCCTTTGTGCACAAAGCAGGCAGGAAAAAGGCTCCCCTTCCTCCATGCTGGACCCTGCCAACGCCGGGTGCTTCACCTCCAAACTGAATTTTGAAGCTGATTATAATGTGGAGAAATCTACAGAAGAGAAGGAAAACCTGCCCACGGCGTATAGCGCAAGTATGTGGATCTTTTTAATATTATGAAAGTCTGTATCAGTGCGTCCATACTTAAAACCTACCGCAGTCTTCATAACTTACACCGTTCTTCTGACTTTAAAGACGGCGTTTGCTATGTCCCAGTGGTAAATCTTAGGGGTGCTTGCTTGCCCTGTGGACTTGTCGGCCAGCTCTAGTTAATACACTTCCCCAAGCTTTCTCCCTGGTACAGGTGAAAGGGACAGGAGTCCTGGCGGGACAGTTGGCCGGGCAGCGCTTGTCTCGCCCTTTGTGGGCTCCCTGTGGCACACCAGGACTTGAAAATCTGGGCTCGCACCCGGCAGCTGTTCATATAGCAGGAAATTAAGATGGCATGAGCTGGTGATTCTGTCAAGGAAGGAGGTGTGAAAGGGACAACTTGGAAACATCAGCCTTTATTTTTGAAGCAGGTTTGGGTGATGTTAACTTTATTCCTGTCTGTACTCTAATTGTAACTATTATGATGACTTATTATTTATTGAGCAGCATAATGACTATGTAGAACGTCAGCGATTGCAGTAGAAGTAGTAATGATAAACATTTGGCACTTCATTGAAAATTCTTGGCTCTGACCATCCTTACCTAAAGATTGGGGTAAAACCTGAATAAGACTCGGTTGACTCCAAGTTGTTTCTCTAGTATTCCAGTGGTTTTAACCACCATTTTCAAGAGGGAGAAGTCACCAGGAGTGAAGTAACCAGAAGTGTTGAGTATCTTCTCCTGGATTATAAATTCTCCAGAGTTGTCTCACTAAAAATATTAATATAATTTTCGATATTTTAACCCTGATATTTATCTTAACATGTCAAATTGTAGCTTGAGCTTAGTGTTGTCAAATTGTAGACTCGTGTTGCCTCTAAAGTGGGTGTGAAGTAGTTCGCAGTGGGCTGTTCCGGTGGTCAGAACACCATGCTCTTCAGCCTATGCTCTTATTCTGTTTTTATCTAGTGTATTTTTAAGGTTTTGAATAGCTTTTAGTGACATGCACACATGAATTACGTGGAAGAACACTGATTCCAGACAGTGTCGCCCCTGAAATCCCAGTGTCGATGAGAGTAGAGCAGTCCTGGGGACTGACGTGGCTCTTGTCCCAGGGCTGAGCCGGGGTGTCCCCAGCCCTGAGTGCCTGGCTTCAGTGGGAGAGGACGAGGGGCCAGGGCTGGTTGCCTCCCTAGGACTTGGAGACGTTAGACTGTGAGGGTGGGTGTGGGCCATCACACGGGTGTGCATGCAGCTCCTGTGTGACTTGTCTGACTCGGATGGGAACCGTGTGTGTGCCTGGTGTAGGGCATCTTCTGGAGTCTTGTGCCTCTCTTCATTCACATCATCCCCAAGAGACAGAAATCGTCAGATCCTGGGGCAAGAAGAGACTTCCATGCTGTGTAGCCTGGTCGACCCTCTTACTTGGAGAGTAGTGGAGACTCATTGATGAAGTATCTGCTGTCGGCCACTAGGTCTCGGGCGAACCGCCTCTTGGGGGAACCTACCACTGCAAAACCTTGAAGCCCTCAGTTACACGGACACACGCTCCTGCCGCACCGTAGCTGTGAGCAGGAGAGGCAGCCCCCTTCAGACGAGGCCTCTCCAGACCTTCCATGCTGAAAGAGTCTTTTCAGTTCACTTGTGCTTTTTGCTGTTTTCAACGTCTCATGTGTGGAAAGGTTTCAAGAGCAAGTTACAAAGACTCAGTGATAAATAAGACTTAATTGTGTTTAAGATGTTGACTTCGTTTCCATGTTTTAACTTACAGGCAATGCACGTGTTTGTTCACATTGTAGTAAAGGTGTTGGGTGAGGTGGCAGCTCTCGGGTGGCCCAGGTCGCCAGTGCAGAGGTGGAAAAGGGCCAGTGGCTGTTACTGGCACCATTTTGATCCAAATCCAAAGTGACGGCCAACATGAACGTCCTAAGGCAGTTTGCAGGAGCAGGGTGGCCAGAGCAGCCACGGGCCCTTGAGCTGGAACCGGGGATGGCCTGCGTCCCCGGGAAGACCAGCGGTTTTAATTGGCTTTTCAGTGTGATGAAGTCCCTTGGGTGCTTGGAGCACAAGAGTAATGAAATGTGATGTTTTAAGTGGACCCTGGATGTTTTGGGGAGCAGACTGGCTTACACCTATTGCCGGAGGCAATCACTGTTGACCTTGTCCTTCAGACAGACACCTGAGTGTACAGAGGGACAAACATTAACGGGATGCTTGTGCATATGTAGAATTATCCTGTTGCCTTGAAGTTTGTTGCCTTTTTAAAGTTAAAATGCCATATTTCCATGATGGTATTGATATGCTTCATTTTTTTAATTAATCTATATCAAGAGTCAGTAATTTTCTGTGATGAATCAGTAAATATTTTGGGGTTTGTGGGCCAAGTCAAGGCTTGTAAGTACTTGGGCAGATAAGACATTTTCAGTTTTAATGAAACAAACTCTGAGTAAATTCTTTAAAAATGTAGGGCTATTGAGAATAGACCTCTTTGGTGGGGAGAATAATATTGAGGCTCAAATTGAGTTTTCCTGTCACAAATTATTAAGTGTTCATTAAGACTGATGTGTAATAAGACATCTTAATAAGATTTTCCCTATTTCACCTGGGAAAAGGCCTTTGCATAATAGGTTTTGTCAAATTCTGATACCAGTCCAGGAGCGAACGATTTTCATGGTGCATGTTTGCTGCTGAGAAGGTATCATGAAATTTGAGACTGCCCATTGCTGTGCCTTTCAGAATGTCCTTGCAGTACAGATTTGTCAGTTGGAAGTTAGAAGGCAGCTCAGCTGTGCTGGTGGAGGGATTTTTGAAGTGAGAACATCTTTGCTCCTGCATCAGGTCTGGAGAATGCTGCAGTCCGGCTGCAGCAAAATAACCGGGGGGGTGACGAACAACTTTTGTAGATTGATACAGCAGGAGAGGGAGCCGTTTATTGTAGGACAACAGAGGTATTTATACATTCCATATAGCTTATCTAATTAACATAAACCAGATACAGCAGCCAACCAATAAGGAATCTCCACACTTAATGGCTCGCTGGAGTTACTTCACAAACCACTCCCTCTGGCAAAATGCCAGGCGCCATCCAGACTTGTTTACAGACTCTAACAGGAGAACACTGCTGCAGCTCAAGGAAAATGTCCGCAGCAAATTCAGATAGGCCTGGAGAGTCCACGAGATGAGGTTTCGGTACGCTGCTGAAGCTGGCCTGGAACTCCTGGTCGTCCCACCTCAGCCTCCTGGGTAGCTGGGGTGACAGGTGTGCACCACTGTGTCCCTGAGGGCCAAGATGGGAAGGCTGCAGAGAAACATCCCTCCTGCCCGAGGTGCTGACCACGGCCTTTCAGCCACCTGACATTGGTTTGAACTGCCGAGCTGGGCTCCTACTTGCCTCACTGATGAAGGGGGCAGAAGGGTGCTGTGTGGCCATCTGCAGAAGCGAGTCCTTTTCACACTGCACCCCACTCCTGCCCCCTGGTTTGATGCAGATTTCTCCTGTGCCGTGTGATGGGAATTTACGTGTCAGCATTTTGTACACGCGGGCTATCTGAGCAACTTGGCGAGTCCAGCTGCCAGATTCTTTTTCATAGCTAGTAGTCGTGAGCTGTTGGAGATTGATGGTTAACTACTCTTCTAGCTGTCTACCAGGTCTTAATGAAGCAAGTTTCAGACAACGTGATTCGGGTATCTGTTGACAAGCAGAGGAATCGGTCCACCAGAGGGCAGATGTGCTGAAGCCCCAGTCTGTCCCTGCTTGACTGTCCATACTTTATCTGAAAGGTTGACCAGTATTCTTGGCACACGTGTCTGATCTTTTCAGCTACCAGGTATCTTCAGTTAGATGCTTAGGATGCCATTGAGGGATGCCAGCTGTAGCTCACTCTGGATTTCCAGGCTCTGTGTGAGTAGGGTTCGCCCCACAGCATTTAAACCGATCCATTTTTGGAAGCCCGTGAATTTTACCAGTCAAACTTTAACATCTACTGGGCTGATGAATCAGCTAGTGATGTCACCAAGTTCAGCTCACTTGTCACACCCCTGTGGCAGTTAACAAAGCCTCCAGTGTTGGCCTGAAGGACTCTAGAAGCTGGCTTGCAGTATGGTCTGCTAGTGTTGTGGCCGATGCTTCTGGAGTGGTCTGGTGGCCTGTGCTGCTGTTGTCACGAGATGCTTCACCTTGCTGGTCTGGTCTGTGACAGATGTCCTGCTGCCTGTACTGACTTCAGGTGGGCGTGGCCCCTGCCTGCATCTGCCTGGGAAGGACCATGGGGTGGCACCCTGGCTCTGAAGGAGTGCCTGCCTAGAGGAGGTCAGTAGGGCTCAAGTTGAGGTTTATTTACATCACGACTGAGAACTAGCGGCAAAAATGCTACAGTACTTGTGGAGGGCATGTATGTATAGAATGCATAATCCCAAGGCAGAGAATCGCATCTTTACATTGGATTTGCACCACTGAGCAAGCTTGAGAATCCTGGTGTTTTTTAAAGTCGTTAAAATCATCAACGTACACCTTCTTAAAATTTTAGTTAAGGTATTTTGTATGTGCTTTGAGAACTAACCCATCCACTCATAGGCATTTAGGTGTTCATATCTGATAGTCTGTACATTTCAGTATTTCTTCATTCAAGAGGAAGTGTAGATTATTGTAGCAAATAAGTGTACATGAATTCCTTAAATATTTTAAATTGAAGAGTAACTATTGCACTTCTGGATGATTCAGCCCATCTAAGTATGGCAAGGAGAGCATTTCTCGGCCCTCTTCCCACAGTCTGCCCCACTCCCTGGGGCCTTAAGCTGCAGGCAGTCTGAACAGCTCAGCATGGACGTCAGCTAAAACAGGAAGGTTGGCTATGAGGCAGGCAGGCTGCAATCGTTTAACCGACTGGTTACGCGTTTTCGTCAGTCAGATGTTTGCATCTATTATATGCAGGGTGTTCAGACAGATGCAGGTAATGTTAATTCGGAGCTCACCTCTTCCCTTGGGAGGTTAGGCAAATAGGAAAGATAGTCAAGCCACTGAATGCCAGGGAATTCAAAAGGTGCAGAAAACTCCCCATGGGAAAATTTTGTAGTGTTAAAATATGGGTTCTATGTAAGTTCTATGTCTGAATGGAAGTTTCTGCTTTATAATTATCTCAATCTATTGTAGACCATGATTAGATTATCCCCTCCCCCAAAGTTAAAGTGAACTTGGGCTGAGAGCACAGTCCCAGATGAGGCTTGCTTGTGTGGAGCCTGTTAATAAACTGCACATATCCCAGTGGTGGGAAGGGTCTATCTTGTCTTAAGGTTTTTTCCCCACACTTTTAAGCTTTTTGCATTCTTCTTAAATTCATTATTCATACCTTGGACTCAAATATTCCCATTAAAAAGTTCCCATTAGGATAATATTTAGATGGTATTATGCTTATTTGCATGTTAAAATCGCGGGTTCTTAAATTGCCTTCAGAAGCCTTTTTGGCTCTTGGGTTCTGCATGGTGCTCCTACACGTGACTCACTTGTCTCCATACACCAGTGTCCTTCACCTGCATGCCTGTCCTGGAGTAGAAAGTGGGATGTGCAGAAGGCAGACCTTGGAAAGGAGAGCTTATTTGTTTCCAGGCAGAACTTCAACATGGGCTGCTCTCCTCTTTCTCAGCACTCTCTTCCCCTCTCCCTCCTTCCCCGGGACTTGATTCACTACTGTCCTCATGCTGCCTTAGCCTGGTCCTGCCTCTGCAGGGATCCCATCCCACGTTCCCCCAGTATCAACTCTTTCTTAACCTCGCTTACGTGCGTTGAGAGGCGGAGATGGTGATGCATGCTGAGAGGTGAATGACCCTTTGCTAGCTTTCCTTGGTGTGACTGTGATATTATACAAACTTCTAAATGGTGAAACTTCAGATAATACAGCATGACAAATTCGGCAGTGATGAAATTCTTTCATCTCTGAATTTGGTTATTCTATGAAAACTTAGACCTGAATCACTGAAAAGAAGCTAGCATGAGGAGTGGGGGTTTGATAAGGAGATGCTGTGCACTGAACTGTGACCCCTGAAAATTCTTGTGTTGGAACCTTGCCCCCGAATGTGCTGACATTTGGAGTCTGGACTTTGGGATAGGATCGGGCTTAGAGGAGGTCATGAGGCTGGGGCCGTCATGGTGCCGAGCTGCCTTTAAAGGATGAGAGACCCCTGAGGCTTGCTCTTCTGAGCCCTGTGGAGGCGGCTTCTGCAAGCCAGGGAGAGAACCTGCACCAGAACCTGGTCACGTCACTCAGATCTCAGTCTCCAGGACTTAGAAAATCCATTTGTTGCTCAGGCCACTTGGTCTGTGGTGTGGGGTCACAGCAGCCTAAGCTGATTAAGATTTCCATCAAACCAGGCTGTGATGGAGGAGGAGAGATGAGGGTGAGACCGTGGGCATGACGTACTACAGTTCCTGAGACGGTCAAAATAGATGTCCACTAACTCATTGGATATATCCATTCATACCCTACCTGGGATTTCTGGACAAGGGACAGAATCGGGACTCTCCGTAAGGCCCACTTTAAGGGGGCAAAGGGTGAGTGTTGAAGTCATCTAGGGAAGAAGCCTGTGAACGACCCATGACCCAGGAGCACTCGGGAGAAGCAGGTGGGAACCAGAGATGGCAGGTAGACCTGCCTCCGGACCTGCAGCAGGTGGACACTGAGCCACCATGCACACTCGGCTGCTTTCGGCTTCCTGATTAAAATCTGCAGAGAAGACATCAGTAAATCGCTGGTGAATAGGCAGAATGTTGGACATGTAAGTCTTTTACTTCCATCATTTTGTGACTACAAGACCTGTGGAATTGTGAAAATGCACCGTGATTGTTGGTCTTGATGTTGAGGTGGTCATGATGCTCTGCCTAGAGCTTTCTGCCTGCAGAATGCTTTGCCACCCGTCTCTGTTAGGCAAGAACCGAGGCAAGTACCGAGGCACGTGACTGCTGACCTTTTTTCAATATACTAGGAAGCTGCAGACTTGTGCATGATTCAGTATTGAGAGACTTCATCCCTAAATTATCCTTAGTCCTGTTTAATTTTGATATACTCTTGCTTTAAATATATTTTAAAATGAAAATGCATAGTGGTTACAATTAACACTGATTCTAATCTTCCAGTTGTTTTTAGTCTTAGACCTTAAAGATGAAGGGCAGGTTCATCCAGGTTCCACCATAGGGCTTAGGAGTTCTCAGCACTTAAAACAAGACTACTGAGAGTCACAGGAGTGAACAGCAGTAAGAAACTCGGCTAGATCTTGGGACAAACTGCGTGACATCCTCCCACACAGCCTCTCGCCTACTGCTCTCTTCCATTGCTTGCTTGGCTGGCTGAGGTCCTTGTTTATGGGACAGTCACCTGGCGCTGAGCAGGCTTTGGGAAGACTGGACACTAGACTGCAGGGAACAGGGCATCACAGTGGCTGCCGTTTTCAGAGGGACCAAGTGTAGGAGTTCGTAGGCAGAGAATGTTGGTTTCTTGACTCGGATGTATCGGGGCCAGGGTTGTGAATGACAGTCAGTCTGGATTCAGGAAAATGTCTCATCATTGTTGTCCTGTGTTTTTTGAACTGTTTTTGAAAAGTTTTCAAATCACACTCTCCACTTAGTTATACTTGGCTATATCATAGTGTCCTGTCTGTAGACCTTCTTAAGCAATGTGAACTTTGGGAGTACTGACATTATTTTTTGCATCATGTGTATTTCCTTTCCTGTTGGTTGGGACAGTGTCTCATGTGTTTGTATCTCCAGAGGGAGCCTCTCGTCATTGGTGTTTGTTGATGAGCACATCAGTGAATGAGTGGGGTGTGCAGTTAGGCTGACCGTCGCCTGACTAGGGCTGAGACCGTGGCCCCTGCAAGCCCTTTGTGCCGGCGTATCAGGACCGCATGATGGCCCTTGTTATATCCTCAAAAAATCCAACTTTAGTTCACCAAGTGGGCGACTTGGGGTGCAGAGAGGATGGAGCGCCACATAGGGCATCAGCAGGAAGCAGGTGCACCCCAGCATAGCTCTCTTCATCGTGGGTTTTGGGGGAGTCCACTTGGTACAGCACCTAACGGAACCCCAGTGCACTCGCTGGTGTGTCTTCATGGCAAGATGTTGGCCTAAGACGGGAATCTTGGGGGAAGTACCCAACTGCCATCTGCAGATTGAAATCTGGAGCTTTGCACTGTAGACTGTTGTGGAGAAACTCGCCCAACGCTGAGATCACTTCCAGCCTCTCACCTAGAACCACCTTCTCCAAGGAGCTGCGTTTTGGTGATTGTGATGCTACATTGTACATGTAAACGTCCCAAGCAATTCACTTAACTGGACAGTCGGGGACAACTCTGCCCATGTGGTTACAGTGTAGCATCACATTTGTCCCTTTGATAATGCAAGACAAGGTATGCATATGTATGCCTTGGACTCTTGGACTCCTGGACTCCTGTCAGGGACAGGAATCTTCCAAGAGCAAGACACGCATGCTGACGTAGAGGCTCGCAGGTTCCCGTCACCACTGAACACAGTAAAAGGGACTCCTCAGTGTTTTGCTGACATTGCTTCAGTGTTCGTTCCACCTACACTCTAACCTTTGGTCCACTTGGGTTTTAGGTGCCACAAGGAAGGCTGCTCCAGAAGGCTCTCATGAAGGCTTTCAGGACTGCGTCCAGCCGCCTGAGGAATCGAAGGAAGGCGGGAAAGGCCAGAAGGTCAGTGCAGCATTGTAATGTTCCACCTTGCATGGAGGAAACGAGTCGGCAACTTGTGTTCACTTAAAAAGTTGACTGTGGGTGAATGTCGGAGAGATCTGGATCTGACAGCTGGGGTCTCACTCAGGACAAGCTGGCCCTGTCACTCTGCCAGCAAGTTCCCTGCTGGCAGAGAAGCCTGGAGGTCTCTGGGGCCTGATGGGCTGTGCCCAGGATAGTTGCCCTTTTGTAGCTTCAGCAAGTGTTTCCTGGACAGGGAGAGAACCCAGACAGCTTTGACCTAAGACTCTCAGCCTCATTTTTATGAGGCCCAGGAGGCTTCACAGAGAAACTTGAGTTAGAGCTACAGGGGGACCACAGAGCACCGAATGCCAAGACCAGCTTTGCTTCAGCCCGAGAGTTTCAGAAGTGCAAGTCTAGAGAGCAGTGCAGAGATGAGTGGTCAGGGTTTATCATGCTGCAGGTAATTGGGAAGGAGGAGACCTGTGTTTAACGTGCAATTCTAGGTGTTAAAGCTACAACTTCCTGGTGCTTTGAGATCTAATGTGGAGTGGGGAGAGGCATTATGTCAGCATCTTCGGTTGTGACCAGCCGGCAAAAACACTGTCTAGTTTCCTTGTATTAAGTCCTGCAGAACCGCACAGGGATTGGACTAGTGAATTCAAGACAAGTTTCTGGCCTATGGCTCACAGGCCTCGAGGGTCCTTAGTATCTCAGTTATTCCCTTTCGACCTGCGGAAATGGAGGTCTTCCCCGCTTGTTTTTGTTCCCTGTTAGATTTCAAGTTAATTTGTGTTAAGCTGAAATTTGAGACATTTTAACTCAGTCATGTTTTTATGTGTAACTGTATATTAAGGGATTAGATTTTATCAAGCACCGAACTTGTTTTTTTCCTTTAAAAAACAAAAATAAACCTTGTAATTGAATTTTAACATCAAGAAAAGTAAGTTCATGACCAGCTCTCCGTCAGCTAATTCCTGGAGGACCTGCATGTACTGCAGTGGAGGCGGCTGGCCCTAGGGTATGGGGTGGCCTCTCACGTTGATACCACTGGTTACCTGTGGTGAGTCCTGCTTCTTCGCAGGGTGAAATAACATTAGAGAAGCACCGCGAGGCAAGCATATAAATCAGGGTTTACTTAAAAAGGGGTAACAGACTTTTCCCGGGAGGGAGAAGGGGGCCATAGCTGATATCCTGGTATCTCAGTATACCAAGAAGTGAGGGTGATTTGCCTTTTTATATGTCCTAGGCTTCCTTTTTCTCCCACTCTCTTCTCTTCTCTTTCTCCTTCCTAGGAAATGCTAGATGGGACAGCCCTAAGGTGGAAAACAGGTGGGCTGCAGGGGCTGGGAAGAGGATCCCTGCAGGAAGGGGCTGTAACTAACTACTCCCTGTAGAGAGGGATCGTCCCTGGGCAGGTTATCTGGGTAAGGTGGAGGAGGAGCTCTGAAGGAATTAACCTCTCAATCTCCATTCTCTGGGTCTGGCCTTGGCCTCTCTGCCTGTCTAACTCTGGCTTCTATATCTTCACCTGAGGGCTGGCTTACCTGCCCTTTCTGAAGTTATGAAACAGATTGAAATTCAGTTGTCCTATGGCCTGATCTTTTTTTTTAATCTGAAGCTTGGAGTTGTGCATTCAGGTCATGTCTGCCTTGGCTGCCCTGCAGAGCAGGCCCAGTAGGGGTGGCTTATCCTGAATCTGTGTCATAGGAAGGTTCAGGGTAAAGATGGGCAGGTCGGGAAGATGGGGAAGTAGGAGCCTATGGAGGCAGTAGCACCTGCTGGAGGGGTTGGCTTGGGAATGGATGCCAGAACCTGCCGGAAGAGAGGTGCTAGAGTGGGCCCAAGCGCACTGAGCCTCGGTGGTTCTCCGTAGCTTCACTGAGGTGGTGGTCTTTCTTGAAGGCCACTGGCCTTCCTGTCTTTGATCTGTTCTGAAAGTTCCGAGCTGTTACTCCGTCCCTTTTTCTCATGCCTCCGTGGCTGGGGATGCAGTCACAGGTTGGCCTCTGTGGCCCACACGTCGTGGTTTCCTGTGGAGTTGTCCTCTCACATCTTATTATTCTGGGCATTTTTACTGACTTCTTTCCTCTTCTTCTGTCTATTCTGGTGCTGAACACCCCCATTGAGCTTCCACATTTCATACTTTTATCATTATAATTTGACTTTTGTCCCATAATTCTCTGCTAAAATCATTAAACCTTATTTTATGTTTTTGAGCACGTGAAGTGCATGTAGTTTGGAATCTGCCTGGTAACTCCATTTTGTTTTCTGTCTGTTTCTTGGTTTTCAGTCATATGTCCCATATCTCATGTGCCTGGTTATCTTTGGTTGGTCTTCTAGTCAGGAGTTGAGATGATCTGAAGTTGTGCTTCTGTCCCTGAGGCCCGGTGTCCCCAGGAAACTTAACCTCGGGTGCTGCTTTGAGTCTGTGGTTTATTTTTCCTTGTTTATCACCTGGCTCGCTGGGCAGTGTCTTCAGGTAGCGTGCGTGTGTGTGTGTGTGTGTGTGCGTGCGTGCGTGTGTGTATGCGTGTGTGTGTGTGTGTGTGTGTCTGTCTACACTCTGGCCAGCTTTTCTAATTGATCACAGTGAAGAGGTTGTACAGGACTATAGTCCACCTTTAGGTTTCATTAAAAATGTAAGGTCAGGCAGCGGTGACCGAAAGGAGGCAGATTTTAAAAGGCTGCTGAGCGAGGCTTTATTGAGATTTTGCTCCCGGGCGGAACCCTCAGACCAGAGCGCGACCAGACTGGAATTTTTACTGGGCTTAGGGCAGGAAGGGAGGGCTTGGGACAGGAAAAGGGGTCTTTGGAGTCCCTTGTCCTCCTGGGGTGGGTTGGGGGAGCTGGCTAAGATCCAGGATTGACCAGGAGACCCTGCTGATAGGTGGTTCCCTGCTTGGTGGTTCTTTGCCGCACACAGGTTGCTTAATCACCTCAAACCGACCCAACAAAGATGACTTCTGCAGACAGGGTTTCTGCTCTAGACCCCTCTGAGAAAGGAGCAATGAAAGACCAAGACAAGAGAAGGGCTTTCAAAAGGTGAACTTTCTAGTCCTTGTTTGCAAAAGATATTTGGGATGAATTTAATTTCTTTCAAAGAGTGAAAACGATTACCATTCAATGAGGAATTGTAGAATCTGAGGTAGAACTTCTGTTATTAATTCTTATTATTTATATTAGCTTATTAACTTTTGATTCAGTATGTACTGTTAATGGGAGAAGTCGCCAAAAGGAGGAACTGGGAGACAGTGAACGAGAAATGACAGACCAGGCAGAGAGTCACACAGGAGTTCATCTGTCAGAGCTGACAAATAAAGGCACATCTCTCCATAGATGAGAGAGGCAAACGAGGCTTGGGGTTCGGGACTTTTATATGAGGCAGGCTCGGGGATTAGAGCCCGGAGGGTCCTAATGAAGTGGTTAAGGGTGGGGTTGGTATGAGGGAGTGGTTAGCCTTTCTCAGAAAAGCCCTTCAGCAGAAAAGGGAAATTTTTCTTAAAATGGCGGCTATCACTTAAGATAGCTGTCCAGATGCTAAGCAAGGACCTTACAGTCACTATATAAGTCAGTGGAAAAATCAGACTTCCCTAATTGTTTTTGGTTTTTGTACCAGGGATTGAACCCAGGGGTGCTTAACCACTGAACCACATCCCCAACCCTTTTTATATCATTAGAGATGGGAACTCACTAAGTTGCTTCGAGCTTTGCTAAGTGCTGAAGCTGACCTTTAACTTGTGATCCTCCTGCCTTAGCCTCCCAAGCCACTGTGATTACAGGTGTGCACCACTGTGCCTGGCCTTGTTGAGCCACTTTTGAGTTAAGCAATCATTACCTCTGTCCTCTTGGCTTATAAATTGTAGGTCACTGGCAGAGAAAGCTGGTAGACCCCGACTGATGCTAGCACTCTGGTAAAGTACATGAATGTTTTTTCCTCTAAGGTTTTTTATTTTATGACTTCTCGGTTTACTCTTGTTGTTGAACAGGTTATTAGCAGTGATTCATCCAAACGGCAGGTGATGTTTATTATTTTTTTTCTTGGACATTCAACGTGAGTGTTATTACACACTGAGGGGAGCTGCCACACCTCCTTGAGGACGACACACTTCCTAACTGTCCGTGTGGATTTCCTGTTGTTCATCCTGCGGCACGCAGGGAGCTGGAGGCCTCCCGTGTGGTAGGAGCTTGGAGTGGCCCTCACTTGAGAGACGGCTTACTGAGGCCAAAGCTGCTCTGGATTCCACTGGGTTTCCAGTGGGCTGTGATTACTTTGATAAGCCTCTCTTGGCACAGCCAACCCAAAGTTGGCAGAGGTGGGCTGTGCTGGTTGTGACAGGTGTGGGAGCCAGCAGGTGTTACTTTATAAAGCCACTGGAAAATCGGCTGCCTTTTGATGGCCGTAGTTGCTTTCAATTCCTATTAACATGCTATTTTTTTCTTTTTATGTGTGAAAGAAAATATTTCTATAGAAAACATTAAATAGAATTTTCAAAGAGCTCCATCTTTTAGCATTATTTCCATGTCCTATACTGAATGGCTGATTTTTGCAAGCATTGTAAAGTATGTGGTTCAGAAATCATCAAATGTGTTTGGACTGGAGGTGGTGGAAGCAAGGGCCAGGTGGGGTGGATCTCCTTAGGCCCTCAGTGGTCATCTTGGGCCACAAAGGAGTGGTATACTCCCTCCTGAGCAAGATCTTTTGGGGCACCGAGAGGAGCCATGTGAGGCTGTCCAAGATCTACTGGTGGGCGGTCAATGCTCTGGGCAATGGAGAGTGTACAGGACCACTCTAAATACTTTTAGCTGCTGGTTTCTAAGGTCCAGTTTACCAAATGTTCCACTTGGCAGATATTTGCTAAATGATAGTATACCATGGTAATTTGCTTTTTAAAATATCAAATTAATCCCTTTGGGATATGTAGAAACTCAAAGTAACTTGCTGCACGAGTAAGCTTGAGACCTTGTGTCTAGAAGAATTAAAGTGTATTCAGGAGTGA